ACTCTATTCTATTTTAATTCTACTTTTTTTTAACTAGCAGCTTTCTATTTTTTCTATTCTATCTACATGTTTTTTGTGTGTGTGTGTATTATATATATATACAGTGGGTACGGAAAGTATTCAGACCCCCTTAAATTTTTCACTCTTTGTTATATATTGATCGGAACACAGTTCATGCACGTAGCTCACTTCTAATGATCTGATTATCTGAATCGGGTGTGTTAACTAAGGAATTGAGAACCGCTGGGCTACATCATGTGTCATTCACTGATGAGAAAACTTTAAAAGTACTATGTAGTAAATCAGCTCAACAGGGAAATATTTACGACTAATCATAACTGGTTATGATTAATAATAAATATTTAGATTATATCTTCGAATTAACTGTAGCAGAATCAATATTACAATTATTTGATCTGTCCGAATTCAGCCTTCTGTAGGTTGATCATTTTCATTTCCATCAAACGATGTGGCATCCTTTCGTTCCTACCACATTACCCAGTCCATATCAGTTTAGATATCCAGCATGATATTTTTTTCCCACTGAGATCTTATGTGTTTTCAAAGTGTCCCTTTAATTTTTTGAGCAGTGTACCACTTCATGTAGCTTTAGTGTAATTTAATGTTACTTCTTTACATTGTAAGGTCCAACCAATTGGCCCAACAAAGGTATCCAGTGGTGGCTAAAAGTTTCCTGCATGTTCGATCTTTTCAGTGTTTCAATTTAAGTTATTAAATTTAAGTTAAATTCTAATCTGACGAATCTGACTCGGATTTAGATTGTCATACAAATAAGTTGTTTTTCCATTTATAATTATTGTTATTCTGACACTTGATTATTCTAGTTAACCCTTTACTTTATATTTACTCGTTCATTAGGAATCTATGTTGCTTCATGTTGGTCATTTTACGCCAGACCTCACGATTACAAACTCACCAGTCTGATCATTAATCCAACTTAAATGGCAGTGTGCCAATTTAAGGCAGTTGGTTTGTGCAAATGATACTCGAGTTTTAATTAAGTGCATGGTATCTACCTTAAAGTAAAACTGTACAATTAACAGTAACTAAGTGGCTTTTTTGCCCTATTTACTGTGAATTTTCAGGACAATTATTTGCAGTATATGGCCTTATAGGTAACATATATGACAATATATACTCATAGTGGGCAATATATGTCATATATTACATTTTTGTATGGGATATATCAACTTTGCTGCATTATGTAACAGCCACTAGAGCATTTATGGTAGTCTTGTGGCAGATTGACAGCTGCGCATGTGCTTGGCGTGTGTCTGTATGAGATGGAAAGGTGAAGAGATAACTCACTCTCCTGACATCTGTTTATCTTTATTTTATTATTTTCTGTTTGTGAGCTGAGTTGGATGCTTATGTACATTTTTCCTCACTCGTTCCTCATGCTTGAGGCGTTTTATTAAAGGTGCAGTAGATCTTGGAAAATGCTAACTTTAGCCTGATAGCACTGAAAGCGAACGTCCCACCCTCCCTACAATCGCCGTCCAAAGCCACGCCCCCTGAACGCATATACGCTCACAGACCAGAATACCGGAGACAACATTACTACAATAGGCTACATCAGTGGTTCCCAATTCCAGCCCGTGTTCTGAAGTGAAGTAAACAGATTTCCCCTGCTCAGGGAGTAGGGAGCAATGAACACTGTGTAGGGATCATATCGATCGGAACACAGTTCATGCACGTAGCTCACTTCTAA